GTTTAATTAATAATATATACATACGTATATTATTATTATTAATATCTTTTTTTCTTAATAATTTTTTAATTCATTAGTACAAAATTATAAATTGATCATAAAATTATAAATAATATTAATATAAATAATATTATAAATTATTAATATATTTTAATTAATAATATATACATACATATATTTTTATTATTAATATCCTCGGAATGACTGGTTGGACTTCTCTTCTGTTTCTTAGGCTGTTTTTTGTGTCTTGTTTGCTTTCTTCTATTTGGGTTTGTTGTATTGGTAAAAGAGTGTCCTTGCTAGGCAGTTGTGGCAGTAGTTAGACCCCTATTTCTTGTCCTTTAGTCAATTGTTTTCTCTTGCCAAGTTGTTTGTCTTTTTTTCGGTTTCTTGTTGAGGTTCTAGACCGCTTTATGAGTGTGTCTCCCAGTTTTCTCTTTCCAATGGTGTCGGGGTTTTCCCCTTGTATTCAAACTTTGTTTCCCGTTTGAGTTTTTAGCATTCTCTATCGTTTCGAGAAAAAAAAATATCTTTTTCCATAAAAAAATCTGTTAAGTAAGGAATATCTAATTGCACCTATAAAATCTCGACCTCATATCCTTAAAAAAGGAAGATTTCATGTCGCGGTAGTGTAATTGGGGTCTTTTAATTTTTGAATTACGCACATACACAAACTTGTATGTGTGGGTATGAATTTTTTTTATTTTTTATTTTTTAATTAAAGGGTAATTTAGTATTTTAGGGATGCGGTACGTAGTAAAATGAGTGCGGTATTTAGCAATTCAGAAAAAAAAAAATATAAATCTAGCTTATTTACCCATCTGTTATGCAACAATCAGGCACCAAAAATCCATGGTGAGCTCATGATCATATATTCCAATCGTTGGCCACTTACGGGAATTTAACACACATTCAATAAACAATTCAATCAATATTCAATGACCTAATCCATGATGTTTCGTGCAGGCAACACAAATAAATCCCAATCAAGTTTAATTACAAGTCCAGCAAATACAGTTATTTGATCACGAATTGTTCGGCAACAGCAAAGCAGAATTGCAGTAAAATTCTAAACGCAGTTCTTTATCGTTTATATGACAAAATAATATGCATAAACACATGCTCTGATACCACATGTAAAAAATTTAATGGGTATATTCATAACTATTAGGCGGAATTGAATAAACCCTAAACATGTAATTCTAACAGTTCATAGAATATGGATCTTTGCATAAATTAAATTGCACATAAAACATTTTCTTGATCTATGAAGTTGATCTACGATCCTCTTTCTCGTAATCCTAAATGATGAGTTAGTTTTTGCCTTATGAATTGTTTCTCTCTCCCGCGTCTCTCGTCTTTTCATAAAGCCCTTGATGTCCCGCGTCTCTCGTCCTTACATAAAGCCCTTGATGTTGAGAACTTTATTTTCGTATGAGATGGAGAGAGGGACATGTAGTATATATAGGAGAAGGCCTACAAATCTATTCCTACTAACATTCCCCATGTTCTAACCTAACTTAATGTCCAAGTCAAACATCACAAATTGGACTATTTAATATTAGAACATTAATAATCCATTAAATACATTTTCACCTTAAATAAGTTTAACTATTAATTCAATTAGGTCCAACTAATTATATGGTCCACAATAATAGAATAATATAAAATATTGTTACATACACTATGACTTAGAAGCTCATGCACCAATCACTAGCTAAAAGCTAGTTACATTTACAATATATATTTTTAGTCTACTTCCACATTATTAAATTTCACAATTACGGGAATCAATAGTAATTGGTATTGAAAAATGTTTGATCCAAGCCCGATTTAAACCATATATTGTTATTGTTATTGCTCAATAATCATTTAAAAATTCTTCCACGTCAGAATTCGATTAATTCTAAAAGTAATAACTATATGATCAACAATTATATACTACAAAGATATTGTAAAATATGAAATAAAAACATACATGATTACATACAGATATAATGCATTCAGTTTTGTCTTATTTGTTCAATGAACGTGTGCCATATCCTTTTGGGAGAAAACCAAAAAGACGAAAGAAAAAGAAAAGAAACCGTTAAAATTTCAAAGACCACATTCAAAGGATGCCATATAAGAACGCAAATCAACCAAAATTTTCGTAATTAATGAGACATGTATGCATGACATGTTATTTTTTTCCAACGTCAATTATATTAATTACTTAAAAACTCGAAAGAGTATACCCGAAGTGTCAAATGACACACTGGAACCAGAAAACTGAACCAACCCCCTTGTCATCACACACAAGGTCCCCAACCCCGGTACTATATGCAACCTATTTTTACACAAACTATTCTATCAAAGAGGCAACCATGGCAACGACTCCCCTCTACCAGAGATTCCATGAATTCCGGGCCAGAACCTAAACTGGCTCGCTAGCCCAATGAATGAAGTTGCGTTATTAAAGTCAGATTGCTGCTTAAGTCGAAGAGTACGGAGGTACAAACTCCATCATGAAGGCAAACAACCACAACATAAAAACAAAAACACAAACTCCAAAAAGGAGAGAAAAGCAGACAAACCTGAACTCAAAGCAGACACAACTGCACTAAACAAAACAAAACAACAAAATGAAAACAAAATATAACTCACACCTAATAAAAAAATAAAATAAAACCTCCCCTAATCCAAGCAGGTGAGCTAAGCGACTGCCGAACCGACCCCGATGCCCCATACCGCAGCTAAAGGCACAACAAAGCCACAAATCTAAAGCTCGAACCCAAAAACTGCGGACAACCGCCTAGACAGATCCGGCGAGGAGGCCGTTCTCGCTCTAGATCTGGGCTTCGAAAGACTTCAGCATCGGCGAAGAAAGGAGGAGTCGCCACAAACAAGACCAGATGAAGGACTACCCAAGCCTGCACCCAGACGAGCACCAGCAACCCGATCACACGGCGGACGGGTGGGCTGCGGCCTTCTTGGAGAAATTCTGACCATAACTGGGTGACAGTGCACGAATCGGACTCCGACAGAGCGGCAACCCTTACGGCTGGATCCAAAAATAGACGGTGGTGCCCCCTCCGCGGCTGTGGACACGGAACGGTGAGACCCGCCGCCGACCGGGTCTCCCGTCAAGCTCTGGGGGGGGGGGNTGGGGGGGGGGGTAGAAATAGTCGGAACCAGTCACGCCTCGGACCGGTAGGTTGGACAGCCGCAGCAACTCGTCAATCTATAATGCCATATGACAACGAAGTGCAGCTTGGTGGTAAGACGCTTCACCTATAACCGATAGGTCATGGGTTCGAGTCATCGAGGAGGGGAAGTAGGAACACCATTGATCCTACTTAAAAAAATCTATAATTCCATATTATATTGTTTGATATAGAAGCATTTACATGTATAGGTGAAGATACATTCCCAACAGCAAGTGCAAAATTATGAAAATGTGAAGTGATGGTAATGACATAACAAATATGTATGCAGGCACTTGAGATGAGAGATGATAGAGGCCTCTTTGCAGCGCAACAAAACCAATCATTTTGTGAGTTTTGAGGTCCTGTATGATGCAATAAGAGGATATAAATTGAACACAACATGTATTTGTGGACACCAATTTTGATACTGAAAGTAGATTGAATGTAAAAGTAGGAAGATATAAAGTGTCAGTTAATATTATACTAGGGTTTAGATGCACAGTTCCAATGCTTAATGTTGTAGTATAACTACCATTAGGTAAGTTTATTTTAGTGGAAGTATTAGAAGCATGCACTGTATAAAGTGATGCATCACATATCATATGATTTGTAGATCCAGTGTCAACTATCCAAGAACATTTATAAAGATGTGTAGAAGCAGCACAAGATAAAGAGAACTTACATGGTGCCTAAGAGAATACAGTGGCAACAACAAGAGACGGTTTAGTGTTCTCTGTTGTCATGTTTGTTTCCTGAGACTTTTTAAATTCTAGAAACTCATGAAACAAATTATTACTAACGAACTCATCATCAATGTGTTCAGTGGGTGGATCATTAATCATAGTGGCATTGGCTGAATGGTTACAATTGATTCTAGAGCCTTGCCAGTGGGAAGGGTAGCCAATGATTTGATAGCAACGATCAGAAGAGTGACCAAAATAGCCTAAGTGAAGGCATTTTTATGCCTTTTTTGTCTTTGTTTCTTTGGTGATGTATGGTTTAGAAGGCTTTTGGTTGGTGTTAGGCTATCATAGCAAGAGAGTCTGTGACTTTTGAGGTATCGTTGAGAGCATGTTGGCTTTCTTCTTGAAAAAGTAGAGAATAGGCATTTGACAGAGAGGGTAACGAATTAGATAGGAGGATATAGTTGCGGATAAAGGAATAGACTCATGTAAACCAACAAGAAACTTCAGAACAGAGTCATTCTGTTGTGCAATTGCATAGATTCAAATACATTACAAGTGGCAATTGCACCACAATGACATTTAAACAGAGGTCGATAAGTCACATATTCATCCATAAGGATTTAAAAACAATGTAATATTGAGTTATGGACATAGATCTATGATCAATGGTACTTAGGGACTTTTCGAGTTGAAAAATCCTAGGTCCACTGCTCAGGACATAGCGAGTACGAATATCATCCCAAACCTCTTTGGCAGTGTTGAAAAACAAAAGAGATTAATGAATTTCTTTATTAATTGAATTGAGAAGCCAGGAGAGGACGAGATTATTAGCGCGCATCCACGAAGTGTAAAAAACAAAGTTACAGGTCGAGGAAGGGACGACGATAGATCTATCGATAAAGCCGACCTTGTTTTTCACACTAAAAGCCATTAAAACTGCACGACTCCACGGGATGTAATTTTCGCCATTGAAAGGCTCGACGACCACGAGAGCGCATTGTCGGTGGCGTGCAAGTAGAACGACAATGATGGATCGTCGATAGAGTTTGCCATCGACATCAAAGAATTTCAAGGAAATTGCAGGGAAAATCGAAAGTTTTGTAGGATCTTTAGGCGAGTGATACCATATCAAGGTGAAGAGATATGGGGTGGGTAAGGGAAGATGAAGGAACACGAGAGAAAGAAAAATCTGAGATTCAATAATTAAAATTGAGAAAAAGCGCGTTTACAATATGTGTCAAAGACTATTTATACTAACCCTCTATTGAACCAAAGTTGTCTTTCACATATGACAACTTTAACTACACTACTAACATAAAATTGATGTAAAGATAATTTTACAACCAACTGTTATAGTATTGTCAAACCATTAGATTGACTGACTTGTCATACTTTATGAACAGAAATGCATACTTACGTTTTTAAAACATACTTCTATTTATAAGTATGCAGATTTGTTATAAAAGTATGCCGGTCGCAAGTGTTAGGCCGGCCTAATAGATGAGTCATTGTTAACTGTAGAAAATAAGTCGATACATGAGTATACATTTTCTCGATGATTAAAAAGATGAAATTTTGGACATTAGCATTGGAAAAGTACTCAGGCACATTAAAATGTATCGACAGCCACGTGTCGAAATCTCATGATACTTACTATATATAGTATGTCAATTTTCCTTCAGGTGGACATATTAACTCGTGTAACCATGAGCAGGAAAACGGGTCATCATTATCACAACGTTGATTAGCATAATCAATTGGTGTGTAAAATACATTCCACATTTTATTAATGGTAGGGGGCCATATACATGTGATTTGTTATTACTGAAATTGGGTCTAGGGATTAGATGTGATATGATCATGTGCTTAGGGGTCACTTATTCCTCTACTCAGCAATCTGAATAAACTGTTCAATCACATTTTTTTTTTCTATCTTAATTTGTCTTGATTTGGACCCTATCCCATTGATGGGATGCTATTAATCTATATCTATATATATATAATTACTAGCTCAAAACATTTAATAAAACCTATTTAATTTTACCTATGTGGCAATTTATTAATTTTCCCTCCAAAAACCGTTACATTTTGATGTATTTAATCTTTCATTTAATCATTAAATAATTAATACTCATCACTTCAAAATTACAAAAATCATTTTAAATTTTTTCTTAATGACAGTTGACCATATAATATGTTGACCGTATAATGTGATTAGATGTTATTATTGTTGTTACATTTAATTTTTTTCTTAAAAATAAAAAATATATTTGAAATTCCTAAATAAATAATAAATAATTCACAAATAAAAGACGTACCAAAATATACATTACATCTAATCAGATAAACGCAATTTAAAAAAAAAAATATTCCAACTCTTTAATTGTAAATTTGGTCTGCAAAAAAGTGAAAGAAAAACAATTAATCATTATATGCATACAAACTCACAATAATTTATTTATATCTGTGCAAATGCACAGGTCGAATAATATATATATATAATTACTAGCTCAAAACATTTAATAAAACCTATTTAATTTTACCTATGTGGCAATTTAATAATTTTCCCTCCAAAAACCGTTACATTTTGATGTATTTAATCTTTCATTTAATCATTAAATAATTAATACTGATCACTTCAAAATTACAAAAATCATTTTAAATTTTTTCTTCATGACAGTTGACCATATAATGTGTTGACCGTATAATGTGATTAGATGTTATTATTGTTGTTACATTTAATTTTTTTCTTAAAAATAAAAAATATATTTGAAATTCCTAAATAAATAATAAATAATTCACAAATAAAAGACGTACCAAAATATACATTACATCTAATCAGATAAACGCAATTTAAAAAAAAATATTCCAACTCTTTTAATTGTAAATTTGGTCTGCAAAAAAGTGAAAGAAAAATAATTAATCATTATATGCATACAAACTCACAATAATTTATTTATATCTGTGCAAATGCACAGGTCGAATACTAGTATATATAATTGCTAGCTAATCCCATTTAATAAAACATTTAATAAAAATATTTTCACTTTCCCTCCAAAAGGAGTTACATTTTTTTAATTAATTACTCATTAATCTCACATTTAAGAAGGTTTTTTATAGTTAAATTTAATTAGTTAATGACTAAATTAAAAAGATTTATTTTAATTAATCTCACATTTATATTAAGTACAGTATTATTTTAATATCTTATTAGTTTTTTCAAAAAAATAGTAACTTTTTTCAATAAATTTTATAAAAATTAGTCAAATGTGCTTATATTCATATAAATCAAAAACAAAAAAATTAAATCTTAGATATATAAAAAGAACATCGTTGAAATAACTTGAATCCGCAAGGGTAATTCTATACTCATTATCAATTACTTTAAATTTTTTGTTTAAATTAAAAATTAATATTATATTTACTCATTTATATTTAGATGGTATTTTTTTATTAAGAAGCAAGGACAATCTCTATCAATCAATAACAGTCAAGGACAAACAATATAAAGAAGTGTTTCCTATACTATGACATGATCAATAAGAGTCAAAGACAGTCTTTGTCGCACGTCGGTTTACTACTGAAGAGCTCTGCATTTAGTCATGAGCAATTATACGTTGCGCTTTTTAGAGTTATGAGTCAGTGGAGTTTGAAGATTTTGATTTGAGCTGAGGGAGATTTTGACGATAGAAAAATCACGACGTTGTTTTATAAAGAAGTGTTTAAGAATATTTATATTATTTTTCTTAATTTTTTCAATGAATTTGTTATGATTTGTTTTTATTATTTTTTCATGTATCATATAGTTTTCCGTGCAAATGCACGGGACAAAAACTAGTATAAAGTCAAAATTACAGGTCGAAGGAAATTAGAAAACAAAAAAACAAAAGATAGGAAAATATATTATTGCATGATAAATTTAGCCAATTTTTAGGTTAAGGTTATTATCAGGCAGCCATCATATCTGAGTTTTACACTATACACCCCACATGCTTGGTTAGTTGTTCGATGTAAATTGCAAAAAAAAATAAAAAAATATGGACATGGGCAAGCATCATTTTATTAAAAAATTGGACAAGTAGTCAAATGTGTGCGTTTTGAAGTTACTATCGATATTTTGGATCTCTTAATTTCATTTCCAGCGAAGGACTTTATATTGAAGGTGTTACTAATAATGATCGTAAAACTTGAGACAATAATTTAACACCTGAGCTGAGAAGTGTTATATTTATTTGTAATAACATTTTTTAGCTATGAAATAACATTTACTTAGAATATCATTTAGTTTGGACATACATCTCTGATCGGAAGCAGACTAGAACAACTTAAACTAGTAAACAAGACATTTCTTCTGATTACAAACATTATATCATTCAACTTCAGTGAGACTGCAGTTAAAAGCTTAACAGTCAGACAGATTTAAAACTAAATTGTCATATCCTACAAACAATAGAAACAAAACTATGATATTTCATGGCAAATAAAGGCACTTTTGTTAAGAAAAACTATGATAGGTCGACTTGCCTAATTGTTAGGCTGATTCGTACAAGAATTTGTTAGATAAAAATTTGTCCAAGACTAGCATTAGTACAAACACACAAGAAAAGGGGGGAAAAAAAGCACATACCATCATACATACCAATATGGTCTGACACTATTGGTGACCTTTCACAAGGACAAGAACCAGATTAATCAACATCAACACAACCATACGAAACTAAAAAAGAGTTTGTTACTTTTTCAATTTATAAATACACAAAACATCCAAATCTCCTCTACTAAAACTGACAATAATACACCATCTTAAAAATCCAGACACAACAACAAAAACAGACAGACAGCTTCAAACACCATTAACCTTCGTCTCGTCTTTCTTGCATCTTCCTTTTCTATCTCAAAAGAACCGAAATTNAACAGCGGGTCATTATCTGGCTTAGAGAGAGTAGGCATGTGTTTGGTATGGTGGGTCGGACCCCCTTGTTGACCACGGCAAACGCAGCCTGGACAGCTGTCATGTTCTGAAACGGGAGCATACCTGTGATGAGTTCCCACAGCACAATCCCAAAACTGTACACATCGACTTTCTGGGTGTATGGCCTGTGCTGGATCATCTCCCTGCAGAGTTTCATAGAATAGTGCATGGGCTTAAAGCATATATATAGAGAAAAAAAAAAAAAACCACGTGTTGACTTAAACACGTAATGATACAGCTATTTATGGCAAAATAGTAAATTCTGATATGTATTATTGCCGCAGTCAATCAGTTGGATCGTGTCAAAACTCGAAGTTGTGACTGAATATCCTGGAAACTTGAGCATCAAAATTTCATCGATTTAACAGTATTTTTTTCTATACTTAACCCCTGAGTGCTTCTATCAGCACTCCTGATGCTAACTGAATTCACCAAATTAATCTCCATGTATAAATTTTATCTGAGAACCAAAAGAGAATTTTAATGTACAAGTTACAGTCCATCAACTAATTGAAAAATTGTAGCTTTATTGATGTTTGACCGAATAACAACTGCCACAGCTTAATGGGAGGAAACAGCTCATCGCTCATCTTAATTGGAGAAGGTAACTACATTAGTTATGCGAGAATATTGTCGCTACTTATACAGAGTCAGTTCGGGTAACCACAAGACAGATGCGGAGTCAATAAATTCGACAAGAAACATATGAGCTTAGCTTTTTTCATACGAAGCATCACTTGAAATACACAAGTGTTGCTTATAATGTGTAGTTAAATAAAACAAATAAAAATTAAAAAGTTAACACATAAAACATCATACACAAGAAAAATAAAAAATAAACATAAAAGAAATGACAGATAGACAAACATTGAAGCTTTCAGCCAATTATTTAGTTCTATGTTCATAGGATATAAATAAACTGAGATAAAGACTGTTGCAAGATTCTGAAATGCTGCAGAGCATTAAATTCATGAGAAAATATTTACTCTTATCTCAGAAAGAAAACATGACTCCACAACTTAGAACAACTTTTTGCTAAATTCTGCCCATGACAGTCTCTCGTTTATAAAAATCTTCTATACTTTCAGACCTCCAGTTGTAAGCCGGTGTACTTTCTTAGTAAACGTTGCAGCAGAAGGGAAAAGCACAAATGATACAAGAAATGTTCATTAGATACATATTAAATTTCTTCTGATGTACCAAAAGCTTACATGGTAACCGACGATAGACAGCTGATTAATATTCCCCCACTGTCAGGATCCAAATTCATTGAGACATTAATCTTTAACCAGTAAGCATATTACATCATTTTGAACTCAATATATTAAAATTAAGTTTGCCAACTAAATACCAAATCCAACAGTAAAAAATATATTTCAATAGCTAATAACTGGATAGGAAGTTTCAATAATCCGCCCAGTAAGTCTGGTTCTTAAGTTTCAAGTGAGACATCACCCCAACACCACTAACAAGTAACAGCTCACACTTTAATTCTATCTGATATAGTATGTGAGCAAATCAGAAGCAATAAAAGATTAAATTGCATGCCATTCGGTGGTAAAATACAAATGAGAACATAACTGCACAGTTGTGTTTAACTTGAAAAACAATCTAACTGATTATATCCAGCTACTTGAAAGAACATCACATAACACATGAGCATGAAAGAACATATGGAAACATGCAATGGAGATTTAAATCCCTCTTGGTCTCTTTCTTTCTTTCTGTATGAGAGCCAAGAGGAGAAAAATTAGTGATGTAGTAGCTAAAGTACAATTAAAAAGGCCAGACAACAAAGGATATGAAACCCACAACATTCTTATAAGAACCAGAGGAGAAGAAGTCAAATATAACCATAAAGTCAAACATGCAAATGAATGACATCCAAAATTTCAAGAGCCACATTTCTAACAGTATAATGAACTCTGAAGCTGAGAAAAACTACCACACATCAGCAAAAAAGACAAGACCAATTAGCAAGTGTAGAAAAAAAAAGAGACACAACCATCCATAGCACAAAATGATGCATGCTATGAGAGCAGATACATAAAAATCTCACATCAAGATAAAATAAGAAAATAAAAAATAAAAAATTGATACTTACGGGGCCATCCACCGGTAAGTGCCTGTCTCCGGCGTCATACCCTCAGTCTGCACCTCAATACGAGCAACCCCAAAATCCGCAATCTTAATCGACTTGTCTGCAGCTATTAAAAGATTGTCCGACTTCAAATCTCTGTGAATCAGATTCAAACCGTGCACGTACTCCATACCCCGGGCAACATCCAAGGCCTGCTTAACCGCCAGCTTCAGCGGCACAGAACGGTTCTGCCTTTTCGTCAAGAACTGGCGAACCGAACCTCCCTTCGCATACTCAGTAACGATGCACCAAACCATCGGTTTACGGCATGCGCCAATAAACCGGACGATGTTCGGATGCCTCAGATTAGCCAGCATCATCACCTCCTGCTGAAACTGCTGCTCCATCAGCTGGGCCCGCTCGATATCATTCTCGGGCTTCTCCAAAAGCTTGATCGCGACATCCTCGCCATTGTAAGTGCCTTTATATAGTTTCCCGAAAGCACCCTGAGCGAAAGCGGGCCCCATGTTTAGCTTTCGCAGGTCAATTGTCCAATCATCATAATTTCCGAGGCCTTCAGTTGGGAATCGAGGGTCCATCAAAGCCCGAGCAAGGGCATCATCACTCAGCTGGGAGGCCCGTCCGTGGTTATTGTTGCTAGCGGCCACTGAATAATCCCTGACCCGCTTAAGGCCCTGGTGGCCGAGGATTCGGGTGTTTGAGCCATTGGAGCCCACGCTACTGTTGTCCACAGACATGGCCACGGAGCCACCACCATTGCTCATCTGCAGGCTGCCGTAACTGTCGACCGACATGTTTGAGCCCTCGTTGAGCTTTCGGTAGAAGTTTTGGGAGAAGTCATAGTTATCGTGGTTGACATTCAGGTCTATCATCCCCGTAAATTTTGGACCTTCCAACATTTTTATGTTTTTTCGGTATTATTCGCTATTAAAGAAAAAAGAGCCAGCAGAGAACCTTCGAAAGTATTCTATATCTTGTGCATCCGCATATCCAAGCTCAATCTCATGCAACAGAGTCTACAAACATAGTCAACAAAGATAATGTTAGCTATCAAAAAGATTTCTTCGGTAATTTTTTTTTTTTTTTACCATCGCATCTATAAAAGAATCTGTCCAACTAACCCCCCTAAGTGCGAAATGGATGAAGCATCAATTATAATCTATCGTGGAAAAAGGTTTACCAGCGAACAATAAATGTCGTCGACTATGACAACAGAATTTACGGACATCACAAACTAGCAAGCAAGATTACCCTTAAAGGCTGTCAAGATACCCCTCAAAACTCTACACACAGGAAATCACAAGCACTTAATAAGCCTAAATTGGAAGATGATAACAAAAATGAGATGATCAAGCTCTTTCTAACTCGTATTCCCTCAAATTTTACTCACTTCTCTCCAGTTGACCATAGCTGCTGCAGTCAACAGAAGTCGTCTCGCCATCAAAATTCATCTCACCCAGAAATATCAGATGTAAAACCCTAACTTAAAACCCAAAAAAAGTCAGACTTACAGCAGTTGGGCTCAACCCCAACCCCACTCCCTAAAATAAAATCGATTTTTTCCCCCAAAACCCCAAAATTCACATGCAATGAACAGCAAAATAGACGAAACAAAATCATAATACTCCAGAAACCAGTTGATCCGAGTAAAAATTTGAAAACCAAGCATATACAGACCTCGATCGATAAGGCTTGACTTTACTCTTTTTTTCTCCTTTATTTCGACCGGCTCCAGATAAAACCCAGACGAGACACACTGAAATTCAACACTCCCTCCGGCTAATCGGAAACCTCCAGCTGCGGCCGAGCAAACGCCCAGATGAAGCGGCGAAAACGACGGTCTAGAGATAGAAAGTAGCAGCACAGAGATGGAGGAGGGAGAAGGAGAGAAGGAGAGAGATGGTAATGGAATTGGAAAATGATGAGAAATAAATGAAAAAGTAAATAAAAAGGAACAATTATTAATTTAATTTAATTACTTTTTTCTTTTGTCTAATTTTCGATTTTTTCGGGGGAGGATCTGAAGTGTATCTGCTCACACGCGTAGTTTTGGGTGCTAAGGTGTGGGACCCATACGAGGCGTCATCTCGGCCGTTGGTTGATAGGGAGGAGCTTATATGTGGGACCCTCTAAAAACAATCAAATTCTTATTATATTTCGTTTTTATTTTATTTATATTTTTTAAAATATTAACATGCGTCATTCACTCATTTGTCCAACATCAATATTTAAAATAAATAATTCTTGTAGTATTAGAAGGGTGCTAGTTGAAAATATTTTATATCCAATTTTAGAAAATAAAACAAAAAAATATGTTATTTTTATTGTTTGTATCTCAAATGTATATAAAAAAAAATTATTGATTTTATAGATATTTTTCTAATTAATAATTCTATTAACTTTTAATTAATATTGATAGATAATTTAGATATTATTATAAATGTAATATAATTGTTTATTTATTTATACACAATATGTATGTCATATCAACTTTAAGATAAATATGATCAATTTATTACATCATATGTGACAAATTGATATCAAAATGTAAATGTTATGAACTTTTATTATATATTTATTATTTAAGCTAATCATATATTTTATAATTTTTTAATGTAATTATAAGCATATGAACTACTATCAAACACCAAGAATTGACATGTAAAATTTGACACATAAATATTAGAAGTCGACACTAATCTCGAATAAACTGTACATTTATACATAGGAAGCATTATACATTGTCTTGATGGTTGGATTGTTAAAAATAACTAGTTTTATCTCGTGTATTTGCACGAAAAGTGATATAATAGAAGATAAAGTAATTAAAAATATAGATTAAAATAAAAATCATAACTTAATAAATGAGAAAAGAAATAATTTTAATAAGGGAATCTAAATATTATTAAACACCTCTTTATATACAACAATCGTGGTTTTCTTATTGTCAGAATTCTTATCACAACAAATCATTATCGTTAAACCCCTTTGACTCTTGACTCTGTGATTTGATTTTTTCAAATATCTTTATAAAAACCATTTTGTATTTCAAGACATAAAAATACGTTTTAGAAATGAGCACCATCCAAAATGGGACCTATCAAAATAAATTGTATAACCGAAAGTTATATATTTTTTATTAAATGAACACCTATTTTTATTAAATAAACTCATATTATTATTAATTGTTGGCTGAATAAAATTTATTGAAACTTCCCAGCAATTATATATATATATATATAGATATAGATTGAAGGTGGGACCCTTAAAACATAATAAATGTCTTTTTATATTGTTTTATATTTTTTAATGATATTAACATGTGTCATTTGTCGAATATCCAGATTTGAATAAGTTGAGACCGATGCTTGCTTAGTCCAACTTAATCAATTTTGAAACGTAAATCAGATGTCATTTATCCGCTTTTTTGAAAATAACACACACCGTCGCACGATTAACGATTGATTATTGCAAATTTTTCGGTTCATTTTTCTCTTGTCTAAAAGTTTGAGAGAAAAGTAGAAATGACTTTAGCAAATGCATTAATGATATCTCCATATGTATAAAATTATATTACCAAACATGATCTATAGACAAGATGAAAAAATAATAATAAACAAAGTTATTTCTTTATAATTTTGTTATATATTTAAATTATCTGTCAAAATAAAATTTATGTTATATATTCTTAACATTATTTTTTAGTCTTTTCAAATTTTATATAAATATTTATGAAACTTTGATACAAAAGTAAGTTATATGGATTAAATACATTCCCGATATTGATTTCTAAATAATTTTAATATTTTTAATGGTAAATGGCAAAAAATAAATTATAAAGACATAATATTTTTGTTTATAATCAATAAAATATAGAGATATTTGTATAGCATAAAAATGAGCATTCAATTGAAATACTTTGAAATTCCACTAAATAAAGATTGCATTTCAAACCTTTGTTTCATATAAATCCAAACAATTTTCCCACAACTAACTTTGAGGTTGTTGGTGAAGTGTGAAGACTTTTTACCAATATTTGCGAGTTAAAGATGGGTTTAAATCCAATATTTGCGAGTTAAAGATGGGTTTAAATCAACATAGGGCAATTGACATCTTAACAATATTCTCTTGTTGGGGCATGAGATATGATGAATTGGGAATTAGCCAATAACATCTTTAGTTAAACGAAAAAGTAAGTAAAAAAAATAAAGAAGTCATCAGAAGATGGGTAAAAAAGTCAATCAACATCCTTCTCAAAAGAATCACGATTTTGACCGGGTAAAGTATGTACGATGTACAAATACGACTGTAACGCAAAATTCGTATTATTGAATTTATAAACACGAGATATTCGTACAAATGAATTTCAACGAATCAAATGAAATAAAGTGGATTCTAAATCTATATTCTTCTTCTGATTAATTTCTATTAGATTTCATATGATCTCTGGAGAAGATGAATCAAGGATAAAAAGATGGAGGAAGAGAAATCGGCAGATGAACAAGAAAGGAAAATATGCTTTGATAAAAATGAACGTTAGGGTTACAAAGTCTCTAATGAATGGTATTTATACCAATGACCTTTAGTTGCTAATGTAGGCTATTGACAACTTCACATAAGTTGCTGTTAATATAAAACAGTAAATTACATAATTGCCCTATATATCTAATACCCCCCCGCAAGCTAAACATGCACATTTTGAATGTTGAGCTTGGATTGCAGTAGTGAGAATTGAGGACATGGCAAGGCCTTTGTAAATATGTCTGCAGGTTGAGCTTTTGTATGGATATAGTGCAAGGAAATGATCTTCTCGGCAACCTTCTCTCTTATTAAATGACAGTCAATTTGTATGTGTTTTGTTCTTTCATGAAACACTGGATTAGTAGCTATAGCCATGGCAGATTTGCTATCTGTAAACATGGCAACTGGAGAACAGTGAGTAACATTAAAATCCTGAAGCAGGTACAAGATCCATTGGATTTCACAAGCAGTGGAAGCCATGGATCTGTACTCTGCTTCAGCAGAAGATCTGCTTATAGTAGACTGTTTCTTGGATTTCCAAGATATGAGGGACTTACCAAGCATGACTGCAAAACCTGTTATACTTTTTCTGGTTTCTATACAACCAGCCCAATCAGAATCACAATAAGCAGTGAGATTAATATCAGATAATCTTGAGAAAAGAATACCCTGTCCAACAGTTCCTTTTATATATCTAAGGACTCTATGAGCAGCAGATAAATGCAAGGATGATGGTTTTGAAATAAATTGACTAAGGGTTTGAACACTATATGCTATATCTGGTCTTGAAATTGTCAAATACAATAATCTCCCAATAAGTCTTCTATATTCAGAAGCATCAACTAAAATATCAGTTTCAGTAGCATTACTGAATTTTTGAGTGGGATCCATGGGAGTTTTGCAAGGTTTGCATGCAAGGAAACCTGTGTCATGGAGTATGTCTAAGGCATACTTCCTTTGACACATGTTAATACCCAAATCAGAGTGAGCAAATTCAAGACCAAGTATATATTTGAGTGTACCCAAGTCTTTAATAGTGAAACAAGAATCCAAATGTCGTTTAATAGCAGTAATTTTGTATATATTATTACCAGTAACAATCACATCATCTACATATACAAGTAAAGCAAGAAAATCATTGTTGTCATGCATGGTAAATAAAGAAGTATCAGCAGCAGACTGAGTAAATCCATAATTAAGAAGACATGTAGTAAGTTTGCAAAACCATTGTCTAGATGCTTGTTTTAATCCATACAAGCTTTTGATTAATTTGCAAACCCTTTTGTCATTCTTATCACAATAACCTGGGGGAGGAGTCATGTATACCTCCTCATCTAGATCCCCATGTAAAAAAGCATTATTAACATCTAGTTGATGAATGGGCCAGTTTTTAATGGATGCAAATGCAATCATGAATCTCACAGTAGTAATTGTAGCTACAGGTGAGAAGGTGTCAAAATAATCTACACCTTCTTCTTGAGTGTAGCCTTTTGCTAC